GTATCTCAGTACAGTTATACAGGAACACCATCAAACAAAATATGTATCAACAGTTTTGGCCTTCCTCAGTCAGCCTCATCTCATCTGCAGATGAGTAAACCCCCCCCCTGACAGCTGTAATAGGCTCCAAACATGACCCTGACTTGGATAAGCTGAGGAAAGTAGATGGATGGATAAAAATGAAAAGACATCATTACAAACACTGGAGATGAAAATTATAAAGATAAAAACAAAGGCCTTGATTCTATAGTTACAATCTATTGTTTTAGAGGATTTCTTAACTCTCCCCTTTTACCCGGCAAAATACCAATTCAGTGTTCACTGCAAACATAATTCAACAGCCCATAGTGTTCTGGTTTAAAGGCAATATTCAGGCCCGCATTGACCGTAAATGTCATAACTGTCAAAACAATGTACAGTGTCTCTGTTCGCTCGATGCACAGAGAAAGACCCCCATGTCTACACACGTACACATACCACTTCTCCCAAAGGATGCTGGCAAATAGGACACTGGCTCCTCTGGTTTCTCCCTCCTGAACGTGTGCACTTATAGTGGCACACTATAAAAAGAAACTGCTGTTATAGACTGGAACTCGACTGCCCCTTAAACTCGCTTGCTTGTGTGCTTTAAATGGCAAATGTGGCATCGTGAAACAGTGACACAGCTTTTAGTTTCACCAACAGAGAAACAGCACCGCTGTCTGGGATCTTTCACGTTTATGTGAGACATCAGTGCAGGCTGTGGCTACCACTGAAGAGAAAAGAAAAGTCTGCTAGTTACTGCAAGTAAAGACAGTCTCTGCTCTGACAGTAAATGCGGGGGCTGAAGCGCTTGCACATTTTTTTAGGCGGCAGGCTGAGTACGAGATACCTGTAGTTCAACGAAGGGCATCCACTTTGTTTGAGTGGAGACCGATTTTAAATAACCTGCTACTGCAGAGCAGGTGGAAAGGCTAAGCTCACTTCTGAATGTACAACTATTCAAGCCACACTGCGATCAGTCACCGCTGTATGAGTCACAGGCCAGGGCTGTATTACAAGAACACCATAAACCAGAACCAAATAGAGAAGGACTGCTGAGTAATCTATAAGTGGCTTTTCGTGATGTAAAAACAGTCACTGGAGATGTGCTGAAGTGTTCCCCGTGTGCCACACTGAACAGCATTTACAATTTAACGGATCTCATCTTGTCTTCTTTTCCTCCCTCGCTATTAAACATCCCCCACCCCTAACCCCCAAATCACTAAATGCAGCACTAAATGCATTGCCTTACGCTAAAACTCCCACGGCTTTTCTTGTTACTTGGAGGATTCCCAGCAGGGGTGAAAAACAATAGAGTAACAGAGAAAATGATAAAAAAACAAAGGGACCAATGAGATTACAATGCTTTTTCTTTCAGCTGCTTTAATAAAGAAACAACAAAAGGTTTCAGTGATTTCCACAGGGGAGTAGGGAAGTCCAAATTATGACTTGTAGTCCCGATGATGGACATGAGGGGGTATTTGAACTTTATAAAATTAGGTCCTTGAATAAAAGAGAAAAAAACACAGAGTGAAACCGGCAGTCAAGTTAAGATAAGATAAGATAAAACTTTATTAATCCCTCCGGTGGGTTCCTCTGGGAAATTCGGTAACCATTCAGTTAACCGTAACTGCATATAAAACATTAATTGTGAGTCCCAAAATTTTACTTCTATGACCTACAGGCATTAGTAAGATATAACTTATGCTTTACTTGAACTAATATCTTAAACAGCTAGCTCATAACAAAAGTAATTACCTGCATTTCTCTTAACTTTAAAGGTTGACTTTGCTCATTCGCCTGAAATTGTTTTACAGAAGTATTTTCTAGGTATGAACCAAAACCCTGAGCTCAAAAGAAAGCTTTGACGTGCAGGCTATGAACCTTCGTGTCTCATTACATAATGGCAAAAAGATTATATTGGACATAGCTACAATCTGCTGCCCAGCTGGTCCAGGTGAGTTGAAAACTCCTCTGTGCTCTCTCTTCATTTTCTTCACACCTCCCACTTCCAACATAACCAAGGGAACTACCCCAACAGAGTGAGACTGCTGACTCACACAATGCCTCCCATGTAATTAAAAGAGTAATAACCAGAAACATTTGGTGGATGCTTTAATCCAAAGGCCTAACAGCGCCATGAGCACCAACATTTTTAGTACTGTATTCCTGCAAAAAAATGTCGACAGAACCTCTGACCCTGACACTGTTAGTGTCAAAGAGAAACCCATTGAAGTCCACAAGACATTAATAATTCAAAGAGAGCTACACTATTTTATTTCTTTTGAAGTGTTGGTGTTCTGTAGTTTCATCCTAACTGATCCTCTTGGACCAAATGACAAACCTGCTGAAGGTAGATAGAAAAGATAGAAAAAAACATTTTTTTTGAGGTAGCAACAGCTGTGTTACTCTGTAATTCTTGTGGTTATTGTGAGCTGGCTTCACAAGCTTGAAATGAATCCTGTCCATCAATAATTTGCTTTGGTTGTTCTGTATGCCTCTGTCTAGGCTCTTTTATACTTGCACTTTTGTATTCACATCGAAACAGATTCAGTGTCAGTCAGGTAAACATTTCAGCAACGATAGCAATTACACAAACTAGCAGAATCACATTTCACTGCAGTGTTTTTGTTAAAGCTGTTTGCAAAGGCAAACTAAGTGAAACGCTTTGATAGCTCACACAAGCGTCTGCTCAAAAGTCAGTATTACTTTTCACTGACACATAATATATGTGTCAGTGAAAATAATATACGATATCTAAAAGAATTTTTCGAAGGAATTATTCAGTTTCACACAGGCAAAGACCAATGCTTGATATAACGAGAAGAATTAACAATAAGTTCCCTGCACTGAGCATTAATTGGGAGTTCAGGAAACATATTTTATCTAATTTATGATTGCAGGGGTTGGAGTTTATCCCAGCTGACATAAAGTAAAAGGAAAGGGGTTGGGAAACATTTTGCCCAGATCTCTTGTAGGTCCTAATATAAGTTGGTAAGTTTTAGGTTGCAGTGATAGAAGCAGTGTGGATTCAAATAAAAAACATCTAGACCAGTTTCATTGAGTGTTTTCTCACATACTGTGGTTATAAAGACCTATTTTGCTGTGAAGTGGCTATCGCAACACTCTGTCTGTTTGCGTCACTAAGGAAGATGTATAGCTTTTGGGCAGCTGTCCCCTGCAAACTCTGGCTAGCTTGTTGCTCTGCCTTCTCACCCCACTCTGACAGGCTCTACTTTCCTTAGATATAAATAGATAACGATGCTAACAGATGCACCAGCCCCTGTCTATCTATCTGTGCTCACACACACACACATATGCACACATACTCTGTTACCACCTATTCTTAAATCTAGAAGATTATGAAGATAATTTAAAAGAGATTATGCAAGGCAATATGCGGTGCATTGTGGAAAGATCTAAATATGACTGAGTAATGTATTTCTGAGCTCTTACGAAACTGAAATAATCAATTATTAGGTTTAAAGAGATCAACTAATAAGCAGGTCATGGCACAATGAGGGCGGCGTAAAAATAGTCAACTATATACAGAAGCGGGACTTGGCTCTGCGAACTGCAACTACAAAATCTGAGTTTTAAAAAAATCCGATGCCAGGAGAGCAAAAGGGATACAAGTGAAGAAACCATTAGTCCGGGAAACACTGAAGGCGCCATGAAACTGATGATGGAATATGAGGACTGAGCTTCAGGTTGAAAGTTAAATCAAATGATTTTCCTACATAAAAACAAATAGTTTTGTTTCTCTTCTCACTTCTTTTCTTTAATAACTCATGACTTCACTCTCCATCCACAAATCTCTAGAACTCGTCTACAAACAGATGGGCAGGTTAGTCCTTCACAATAGGAAAGTAAGTAGGACTTACCGTTCGCAGGAACTGAATCTCCTCCTCTCCCTCTCCCCCTTCTGCCATCTTTCACCGAGGGTTATTCGCAGCTCCTCAGGAGAAAACAGAAAACCCTTCAGTTTTCTCCCGTCAGGATTTGGCTTTGCTATGTCCCTCCCTCTTTTAGTTTCCTCGTTCCTGTACCCCTCTTTCTCTTTCGCACTCTGCCTCAGTGTCTCTCACTCTCCGTGCTAGTGTGTGTGGGTGTACTGGAGGACAGCATGCGTCCTGTGCTCTCACGGTGTTGTGAGAGAGTGACAAGGAGGCAAGGCTCTCCCCGGCTTCTCTCTCCTCTTTGGATCGTATCCCCAACAGCAGATGAGAGTAGGAGGGATGGAGGGTGGATGAGGGAGGGGCAGGCACCTTGTTACACATTTACACCGTTCACATCCAGCCGTGGCGCCATGTTTGTAGAAGTGGGCCACTCCTTCACACAGGCTGCCCCCCTCCATCACCCTCCCCTTCTTCCACATGTCTGAGGCTATAAAAGGAAAGAGGGGTGAGGACTAGCCTTTGGGGAGCGTGCAATAAGAGCACACACCTCAGCTCTTCAAAGTGAGTAAGTTACTGTAGCTGCTCTTCACAAGAAAACCCTTTGGGATAAATAGTGTATCAGTATATTAACATCATAATAGACCTTCTGGGCCCAACATGAGCTATTTGGAAATTCAGATATCTGCATCACTTGACGAGCAGGTTGCATTAGTTCTTTGTTTTATGTTTGAAGTATTGCAAGTCACACTTACAAGAAATGTACTATATAATTTACCATATATGGCTCATTATTCGTTTTAGTGCTGATTAATCTTTTAATCAAAATGAACTTATATACAACAACAGCTAAGTTAGACACCAAACATCTTTAGTCATAAAGCTCATCTGTGTGTTTTGATCAGACATTATTTGGTTGCAATTTAGAAGCTACTTTCAGCTGTTTCTTTATTGGTAAATGGCAAATGGCCTGTATTTGTGTAGCGCTTTACTAGTCCCTAAGGACCCCAAAGCGCTTTACTCATCCACCCATTTACACACACATTCACACACTGGTGATGGATGGCAAGCTACATTGTAGCCACAGCCACCCTGGGGCGCACTGACAGAGGCAAGGCTGCCGGACACTGGCGCCACCGGGCCCTCTGACCACCACCAGTAGGCAACAGGTGAAGTTCCCCAAGGACACAATGACCGAGACTGTCCAAGCCGGGGCTCGAACCAGCAACCTCCTGATTACAAGGCGGTTGAGCCACGATCACACCCCCCCCCAAGAGCCACAATTGTGGCTCAAGAGGTCGCCACAGAGGTTATCACTGCATTTTTGATCTGGCAGATTTTTATGCCAGATGATCTTCCTGACACAACCCTAAAGGACTTTGTAGCTCTACTCAAAATATTTAACTTGTTAGACAAATAACTAAACCACTACGGTTCACAACTTTCCCAACACAGTCCAACTTTGACTATACAAAAAAAACCTCTGACAAGACGCAATGTTTTTGTTTCATTTTTTTTAAACGTGGCCTTGGAATGAAATGGCAGAAAACATAATAAATACTTCATAACCCACATTTATGCTGAGAAGTTGTGTCATCACATCGCTTGTGTTCTTTGAACAATAGTTGAAGAGAGAAAACTGATCTGTTACAAAGAACTGGTTTAGATTCTTGCCTGACATGCAGGTATTGTTGAGTGACTCATTGTTGATTCAGGATTATTATTTTCACCACTATACTACAGGAATTGTATATTATATAACTCTCATCCTTGTCTAAGTAATCAAGTAATCTGTTGGATCAAAGTACAGCTCAACTTACAGCTTGGCACTTTCAGTGTGGTGGACACCACTGAAGCTTTCTTACAGCCCAATCGATAACTGAACGAGACACTCTGCACAGATATTTTGTCTGGCTTTTAATTAGCTTCCATAAAATTACAGTTTTATGCTTCAGTGGTAAAGTAGCAACCTTCCTACTTCCCCTAAGAATAGTGATTCATTACCATCCTATTATTTTGAGTTTCCCTGTCACTTATCTGAAGCAATACCTCTATCAACAGCCTCTAGATGGTTTTAGTGCTGCCTGGGTTTAACATTTAAGAGATGAGATGACTCAGCAGTGACTGGGGAAGAATCCAGCAGGTAAAATCATAATGAAATTGACTCAGTGATGAACAACACATTCATTTCCACCGGAAATTAATCTATTATTCATTTACTCTGTAAAATTGGCAATGTATAAGAAATTTCCAAAAACGTTGGTCGTGAAATATAAGGATTTGTTGCTTTTTATGTTTAATATCACTTCATTATCATTGGGTCCTGAACTGTTGACTGATCAGACTGGTTGAATTTAACAAGCAGTGTGAACAGTACTATAGGTGTAAGGACAATTGATATTTTTTATTTGTTTTCATTTTTATATCTTATTTCAGGGATCTTATATTTCATTGAAAAGCAAAGAAATAGCAGTTTAGCTTGGAAAAAAATGCATTACATCTAGACACAATGTTGTAAGCTGGCTCTACTGTGAATCAACTATGTAGGCCTCCCAAAAATATTTTTTGCATGACACAAACTTGCCCTGGAAAAGCCATCTTTTCAGAAAATCAACAGTTGCTTTTGATTGAAACAGTGGATCTGCAGGAGCGTGTCACACCCCTCCTGACAGACAGCAGGGATGCACCAGACAATAAATCTGGAAGTCTGAGTGCTGGGGGGGGGGGGAGAAAAGCGCATCACACTCTCACAGCAACGGTGACCAGCCTTCAGACACTGTGCTCATGCACACGTCCCTACCTCCCCTGTCTCCATCTGGCATCCTTGAGCATGCTTTCTTTCTCATCCATCTCCCACTGCAACCGCAGCTGGCAGCGGAAAAGATTCTTCAGGACGCTGCTCGCCGGGACACAACTCCTTTCAGCGGATAAGCAGGAGGAAAAGAGGCGGTGAAGAAGGCGATACGCCACTGAGGCGGAACTAACATGAATTCTGGGAATATGAGTCTCGATTCAGAAGTAACCTGCTGACTCCCGTTTTCTGCCAACTCACGAATCGTGCTGGCTTTATGTGCAGTTGCTGCAGTACGCCTGAAGGAGGCAATATAATACAGAGAACTGATGGGAAAAGGCTTTACAGGTGTCCCTCAAGCTAAATAATTAATTAAGGATATATAGTAGAGGTCATGACAGTATTACAGTCAAAATAAGATAGGCGTTGTTTAAAGGAATTGATTAATTAACTCAGATGGAGTTATTTTACTGTTTTATTGAAACGTGGTTCAAGCAAAGGGAGGAATCCCCTGCAAACATGTGAAGTAATGAAACTTTCACGTAACAGGACGGCTGCTCCGTAGACTGTAAGCATCAGGTTTGGTGGTTTTGCTGTATATTTTCAAAATATGTACTTTGCATACATAATAGATACCAAAAAAACATATAGAAATATACGCAGTGGTTACGACAAAAGTCTTATGGGGGCTTTAAAACTCGCACTGGTTGTGCTGCAGGTAACGTGGGCGTGCCAGCGTGTTGAGTTGTAGTAAAATGGCACTAGCTGTGCTTTTGTCCAATGTTCTTCACCAGCTGAGTGGCGCTTCCTGTTTTAAAGAAGCATTGCTTAAGATTACAGTAAGTTTACCACATTGTCCGGAAATGGCGTGTTGTGTCTTTCTGCAACATGTGCATGTACTCCCCTGGAGCTCTTCAATACTCTAACTTCTCAGCGAAATCCAAGTGCATGTTAGGTGTTTTTTGACTTGGCATGCAAGGTCTGCGGGAGCCCTGTGCATCTCTCTTTGCTTTTGAATGCCGTGTCGCCCACTCACTGTCTCTGCCAGCCACTCAGCTTCCTGCAGCAAAGAAGCCACCTCTGCAGACTTGGGGACATTAATGTCCCCTGTTTGGTTGCCTCTTCCTCTTGGGGTGTTAAAACAAGGATTCCTTTGAGCCTCCCTGTCCAGCTGCACAGCGACATTCACAAGCACAAACACTACCTCCCTGTGTAATCACTTGCTACCCTGAGAAATGACAGCGGCAGTTTAAAAAAAGAAGAAAAGGAGAAATCAGGAAGATAGACGTGATGTGGGGCACCCTGGAGATCCAGTGGGGAGACACGTGTCCGGTTTCAACAGTGTCACCAGGCCCTTGATGATTCCTGCTTAGTAACTTAATTCTTTTGCCAGGATTTGACAGTGACACAGAAAACTGTATCAGAAAGAGGCTTTAAGGTGTGGCCTATTTTTTTTTCCTGTGTTGACACTTAAAAAGAACCCGAGAGTTCCCCTCTTGAAGTACACTGATGCTCATATGATTGCTCATCACTATCTCTCTCTAACTCTCCTCCTCCTTCCTCTATTGGTACTCCATTTGTGTTCACAATTCTAACTCTCTCTCTCTCACTCGCTCTCCCCTCCCCCTTGCACACGGCCACACACACACAAACACACACAAACACACACACAGAAACTGATGTGAGTTCCCCTATCTATCAGAGCCAGTTCCTCCATTTAAGATGCTGACTTGTTTATGTTGAGGGGACGAGTGAGTGACTGTTGCGAGTTTTTGCACTCTACTTCGAGGCTTCTTTGGGGCATTTTGTCTTGGCATGTCTGCTTTGTTGCAGGAAACGGAGGCATGAGGTCTGCTTTGTTACTGATTTGTGGTTGACAGATAAAGCGAGAAGGAGGTTAACTCACTCATAGAGTCGTTTGATAAGCAGGACTTAGGCGCGGAGTTTAGTCGATGAGTGTAGGTGAGCAGCCTTCGACCTCGAGCAGCCCTCCCTGCTGTGCCTGCTCTTGCTGTCCAGTGCACAGTAACACATAGAGGACACAGAGGAGATAAAGGAGGAGCAAGGCCAACCATGGAGCTGTAGAGACGTGCTCAAATGCCTGTACGGATCACCAGTGGAGGAGGAGTGTTGCTGAGGAGAAGAACTCTGCAATGAACAAGAACAAAAGGTAATTAAATAAGAAAAAAAGAGACAGGGCGTTAAAACTGAGAGTTCGCTGCTCGCAGAACCATTTGCACCTCAGTTTCTTAACAAGTGTAAGTCTAAGTATGTGTCAGCAGCAAGTGTTTTGAGTGCAGCAGTGATGTGTGAACATTGAGGTTGTAACTGAGATGTGGTGTGGTTTGTGCAAAGGTTCTTGACAAAGTCAAAGAGAAACAAGGACATTTATTTCTGCATCTAGTGTATGCCTCTTCTGCCGTTTATTGTCATATTCAACACTGTGCACATGGAGGCTTTGGGTTAAAATAAAGGCTGCAGCTAATGTTTTGACCTGCATA